TTATGCAAATGAAGCCACTGACGTCACTTCGTCTTCTTCTGCTTTGGGTTTACTGGCAGGCCGCAAACAACTTCACGGCGTATACTGCCGTGAAGTTCCGGAGCTGGGGACTGGCTTCTACTGAACCCTTCCAAGTAAATCGCCAGAACGCCGACACCTCCTCATCACTCCACCGCTCCCATGTTTCTTTTGTGTTGCCATAAATTATTCTCTCTCCGTTGGTGCGCAGGGCTAATGCTAATGCTAATAATGTTAATGCCACAAATGAAGAGTCGAAGGTATGTAGGGAGGAAGGGTTGAAGGGATCAATGGATGAATGTATTAAGGGATTTAGAGAGAGAAGGGATGAATGTATTACAGAGAGAAGGGATGAATGGAAGCAAACACAGATGGATGAAATCAATGTGAGTTTTTACAACAAAATACTGAACTGTTTTTACTCTCTCATCATTATAAACTGATAAACAAAGACACAAACTACAGCCTCCAAAGAGACCATAGATCTGAATCAACACCTCTTTGAACCTGTCGGTAACAACTGAACATGATGAATTCAGGTTAAAGGATTGATTCCCCTGAATTACATCACATAGAGGATTTCCCCACACTAGTGGCTTTTAGCAATGCTAATAGTTTTGTTGTATTTGAAAACAATTTGTATGTTACTGTGAATAATGTGCAGGATAAAATCTAGTTTCTAAGCAAACAGTCCAGAAGTCAGTAGATTAAATCAGATCAGACGGTAACTGATGGTGCGTTCAGGGTCTGCTGACTCAACTGCGAACTGTGTTTTACTTTGAAATCCTTTGTAACCAACTCAGTGTTGTTGTTGTTTTCCACAGGTGCGTTATGATGTAGATGATGGTACAGTGAACTGAGAAAACATCAGACCTCTTGATGGAGTTTGAGCAACACTTCTGCCTCCATCAGACTCCACGGATCAACAACGTCTACATCTTTCACCATGTTTCACATCATGAGTGGAAGATTTTACAATAATTCGGAATTACATATTATTTCATTTTAGTTTTGATCTTATAAACCACTGGATGTCACTGTAAAGAGCTTTTAACTCTTGTTTCCTTTCTTAGATTGTCTTCATGCTGAAGGTCTCAGAGCTGATCTTAAGATGTACTGATGTGGTTGACATACATTCAAGAGACGGATCACGTTTTGTTCAGTCGGATAATATCCACATGTCTACCCTACTTTTATAATTTTCGAATCATAAATCTATCGATTAGATTTACAATTAGAAAATTATAAAAGTAGTGTAGATGTGTGTCAACCACAGACCTTATTTCAAGCTAATTACATTGCTTTTTTGTCGATGGAACCCATGCGCAGCTTACTTCCGGGTTTTAGGACGCGTCACTGTGGCAATCTATTAGCCTTTAAATAGCAGAAGTATCCTTGTTTCTCATTGGTCGACCTAGGTAAAGGATGATCATCCACCTCCGATTATTTCCCTGTAACCCTTCTTTGCATACGTCTCCTTACAGGTGTCCATGGTCTCGTTTCCTACAGGTGTCCATATTGATGTTACCACTATGTTGTTGTTATCACTATGGCCACTCTATTACTAACTTGACCAAAACTTGACCTCGTTAGTAATTTCTAACAGATGAGAGGGGAATTTTACTGCTGTCCACTTTCCTAATGTAACTTCTTACCCCATAAACTTCAGAGAATGAGAAGGACAGTTCTACCTGAACCCACTAAAAGTGGCCCTTTGAAACCATTTTGAATGATGATCTCGGGTTTGACATAGAATCTCAAGAGTTTTCAAATAGGAAGTCCGACCTCAGGGGGCGTTCGAGCTGAAATGTACGACTAGGAACTCAGATATTCCCACTTCCCTGTACAACTGGAATGCACCAAATATCTCCACGCTATTATTTGAATCCCCCAGTCAGAGCTGGTGGATGATGCCAGGGAAAAGGAAGTTTGGGAACCTTTGCTGGGACTGCTTTCCCCCGCAACCTGACTCCGGTTCAGCAGTTTCACGATGGATGGATGGAAACATCTTAGAAAAAAAAAAAGAATAACTCTGGACACAACACTTAAAAATATAACCCACAATACTTTATTGCCGTTAATGTCACTGGACAAAAGTTTACAATATGTGAATCACTCTAATTTTACAGACTGCCATTTGGTGTTATACATCTTTGGTTTTTGCACATTCAGGATATTAAAAAATGTTCCATGATTGATTTATTGATTGTCAGTTGGAAGGCGTGATGTGACTGCATGATTGTCATTTCAGCTTTTTGGTGAACATTCGAGCAGAAACAGTCTTCTTAATTTTCTATAAAACACAGATTTTTAAATGCAAACAGATGGAGATGACAGTATTGTTTCAAGTCACACTGAAGCTGAGAAGCACACGCAACACAATGCCTTTTTTAAAACATAGTGGCAAATAAAGGAAAAATTACAAACTGACATTAACGATACAAAGTATACAAAGGGTTCCCAGGTTAGAAACATGGTTATGTATTACAAACATTAAAGGCTGTGGGGCAGTGCAGCAACATTGACTGTAAAGATTTAGCACCATAGATCCTAAATGGAGATATTATGGCATTGTACAGACAGTGTAAGCTTGTATGAGATAATAAATGATGGGAATGTTTATTGTTATTAAGTCCGTTTTGCATGTAACCTTGGTGGTGGCTGATTGACAGTGGTTTCAAACAATACAGACAGTTTTTGTTAGATTTTTTCTCAACAAAAAAAGTCAACACACTTAAAAGGCCTTCATCTTACTGTGAGTATTTGGTTTGGCAGCCTTGACATTGGAAAACAAAAACATCTACATTTTACTTAAAAATATACAATTTAATTTTCAAGAAGCAAGTTTGATAATATTGTTTTTTCAGCATTGAGACAATACAAAAGACAGACATACACAACAATAAATCCTAAAAAAAGAATAAGTCATTTTTGCAATCCAGATTCAAGACTGCACTTTGTACAGAGTACGAGATGGTATTATCTAGCACCTTTTTCCTCCTCGAGAGAAAAACAAATCATGAGAAATTAAAGATGAACTGCTTGATATTTGGTTTCTTTATGAGGTTTGGTGTTTACCTGTGTGCGTGCCCTTACGCTGTAAAACACTAACTTTAGTTACAGCTTAGGTTAACATGTCATGGGTCTTTGAGGCTGCAGTCAGCTGTGTTGTAAACAAGGTTAAGAAAGCTCACGGTAAAGTAAAAGAAGTCCACTTATAATCGAGTTCTGCTCTACAGAGTGGTGCAGTTAAGAATTATCTTGTCGGCTAACACAGAAATTAGCATTACAAGGGCTCCCTTAACGAAAAGCAATGGGATTCTTCCATCGGATTTTGGAATATCCCAGCAAATAAGAACGGTGGACACTACACGTTTCGTACACTCCATAACACGTGTTTTATTAATTTCAAAGGTACTAAGCTACTATTAGGCTAAAACAAGCTACAGCAGGGTAACATCACTTCCCGTAACCGCCGCTAAGCTAACTGCGGCTAATGTTTGGCGTGATGACACCCTCCATATTTAAACACCTATTGTATTTAATTTCAAAGGTCAAAAGCCAGAAGTAAAAGTTAGGCTAAAACAAGCTACAGAACGTCACCACCGCTAAGCTAACGGCGGCTAATGTTCGGCGTGTTGACGTTTAGTTCCCATTTAAGCTACATATACGCTTCAGATATTCACCAATTGGGTATTTACTGACTTTATGTTCTACAACAAAATGTGAAAATCTCTTCAGCTTTTGTTAACCACATATCTTATTTCAGGCATCTGACCAAAATCACGAGGGAAGCAAACGTTGTAAAATGCTGACTCATTTCCTGGTTTGAAGGGCTCATTCCTACACCACTCTATTCTCCTGTAGCTTTTATGTTTAGGAGTTTTTTTAAATGCAGAACCGGGAGAAGCTATCAACAAGGGAAAAAGACTCTGTCCTTAAAGAAAAAGCTGTCTCTCGGGTCCAAAATCAGTGCTCCTGAAGTCTTAACCCCTACGAGATAAACACAAACATGACCTGATCTATCTTTTTCTCTAGTACCTCATTCACACCAACGGTGTTTCAGGGCCGGTTCGGAGCTGGAGCTTGAAAAGCACCGGGTTTTCCTGTTCACACCGCGGCTGAGCAGCCTCTTAGCTCCGGAATCCGGTTCATTTCGAGCACCAAAAAATTGTCCGGCCAGAGCAAAAGCACCACATACGTCACGCTTACGTCGAGGCGGGGGCAGGGGCGGGGGCAAGGATCAACTCCTGAACAACAACAAAAAGCCCGCGTTTTATCCAGTTTGTACCCAACGATAGAGAAACTTAACAAGCAGCAGTGGTCCACTGAAGAGACCAGCTACCTACTGGGAATCTGGTCTTCCGAAGAGGTACAGAGGAAGCTGGAGCACAATCGGCCATTGTTGTTGTTGTCGGTGTCAGCTGTGAGGGGTTTCCGCACGGTTTGGCTTTATGAAGCAGGCACGCAAACGGTTACGTCATGACGCAAACGATGACCTAATGACACAGCACCAGTCGGACTCTGGGCAGTGTGAAAAGAGCCGGAGCTAAACCGAAGAACCGGTTCTGAACCTGAAAAGCTCTGGCACGGAGCTTGAACCGGAGTTGCGTTGGTGTGACTGAGGTATATGAGCTAATAACTGGTGTTTATTCCCTGCTCACGATGGATCCTGAGCGACACTAGCACCCTCTTTTGTTTCAAATTCTGCATCGCCGCACGGTGAGAAGCACTGAGGTAACCAAACATGACCGCACACACACGCAAACACGCTAATCCCTGCTTGACAAAAGTCGGCTACGTCAGAGTAGCTCGCAGAAAGTGGGTTTTCATACGGCTATAAAACAGACCTGCTATGGACTGAAGAACCTGAAATGCTGTGTAAATGTTGCAGTCCTTCGTGTTAACATTTTTCAAACAGCACAAATACATTAAATGACACACTACAATACTGAAAGGGGCGGACGTGACGAACATTGTTCCCCAGTGTTGTGAATTATTTTTACCAAGATCACAGAGAGGTGAGAAAGTCCTTGGACCACCCGACCCCTTATACTTATAATGTTGGCATTTAGACCGTTTCTGGCTGCTCTCTGCACTTATTTTCTTGTACTGCTTGTGTACAAAAGTGCTTCATGGACTTTTTAACCATTATTTTTGTCTTTATCAGGGTGCTACGGTCCAAACACTGATCACCTCTCTGCTTTCTCCTCCACCGGTTCTCAGTGGAGTGCTGGGTCAACTACAAGTGGAGGGGCGCATGAGGAAGTGTAGTCATAAAACATGAACATATAATAACAACAACAGTAACAAAGTGGTGGTAGAGTTGGGCTGATTGACTCAGTCTTTCGTAGCCCTTGATGCAGGTGGGGGTGCTCCTGCAGGGGGGAGGAGTTATCGGAGAAAAAGGGTTGGAAGGGAAGGTTAGAGGCTTTTAGGAATCAGTCCAGGACAGGATGGTGAGCGCACTCTGGGCTCAGTGCAGGTGGATGAGGAGCTTGATGCGCAGGGCGTCTCCTATCTCCCCTCGTAGGTAGTCAGTGTCGTGCTGCTCCTCCAGCTGGTGGAGTCTGCGGGGCCCGAAGAGCCTCAGGCTGGCGATCTCCAGCCGGTAGGATCCCGCGGGGGGCGCCCTCTTGGCGAGCCGGAGCACGCTCTTGCCGTCGCGTCGCTCCAGCAGGCGGAAGTGTTCGTTGGCGTTCCCGTGAGTGATGACGTAGCGGACGTGGTGCTCCAGAGGCTCCAGGGCCGGCAGGAGCTCCAGCAGAGGCTCTTTGTTGAGCAGCGAGGACAGAGTGAGGTTCATGGGGATCAGGCCCTGCGTGTCGATGCTGGCCATGCTCACTTCTGGCTCCTGGAGGATGAGGACAGAGGAACGTTCATTATTAATATTATTGTATATTTTTTTTACGTTTATGTATGTTTATTTATGAGTTACTTTTAACAACAAGGCAATTCACAGTGTCTTACAAAACAAAAGTACCTTTATATTTCTCTAAATTATACTTTATTGATTTTTTCATTTTTTACAAACACAAACAATGACATCCACAAATAAAGATATTAACAATGAGTGAATAAGACATGTACAAATGAGTTGGCAATCCATGTATAATATACAACATTTTACTTACTAATACGTAACCAACCAAGTTAATCTCCCTTAATATGATTATTTTTTATATTAAAGAATGGTGTTTTCATTTTTTCTTTAAATTGTATTTGTGATTTTTCATTGAATTTTTTATTATTATTTTATTTTAATTATACATTATTTTGAATTGACTATTCTTTTCACATAAGAAAAAAAAATGCTAACGGATTTAATTAATATGATACGGCACGTTTCTTTGTTTGTCTGTTTGTAGTTTGTACTGTATGTAAAACCATTTATTTTAAACAGACTACATGTATGGACAAAAGTCAATCGAAAAAAGTGAAAATAAATAAGCACCAAAAGCTGGAAGAAGATTTTCAACTTATGTAAATGTTGCAATAATACAGTGTTACATTTTACAGGATATTGTGCGGGTTCATGTGTAAAATATGGTTTATTTAAATTCTTAATAAAATCATAGGCAGTTTGTCAACACGTACCTCGTTGAGTTCGTTTCCGTCAGTGTGGCGTCTGTGGCGTCCGTTCTTGGCTCCTGCTCCTGCTCCGTTGATCTTACACTCGTAGCACGACTCAGGAGACAGACTGTCCTCGTCATCGCCCTCCGTGACATGTCCCGGGAAACCTGAGCCGCTCATACAGTGACTGGAAGAAACAATGAGATGATGTTTAGTAACAGGGAAGGAAATACATTTTAAATTAATTCATCACTACTCTCAGCATACCATAAAGCCCCTGTCACACTGTCCCGAAATGTATACCCGATGGACACACGAATATGGAATTGTGAATTTCGCACGAAAATGGCCCCGAACCACACACGAAGGCAACATTTACATTACATTTAAGACATACAACTGCAACGAAAGTAACAAAAACGATTATGTTAAAGTATTATGATACTGTACTGATATTTTCAGACTTTGTTCTTTACTTTCTCCGTCTTTATATGTAGAAGATATTACGTTTTTTATCCGTAATGTTGTTTCCATAGCAACAACAACCTCCTGTCAACTCGCCTTCAAAATAATATATTATATCCTTTTCAGTTTCACAGAACACAAATTGGGTTATTTACATAATATGTTTACATGATTTTGTTGTGCAATAAAACAACCCAATGGACACACGATAAAGGAAAAGTTCAAATTCAGCTCTGATCTTAACAACATCGGGCCATTCGTGAGGGCATCTTAAGCCATCGTATGACCGCCGGTGGAGTTTCTTAGGCTCCGGCAGCAACTTCGTGAGCGGTGGCAAAATCTTTGGCATTCCAAAAAATTGCCGAAGGACCTTGCGAAGGTTCATTTTCGTGTTGAATTTGTATGTCAATTTTTCCCTTCGTAAGGCCAGCGTGAGAGCATCGTGTTTTCATCGGTGCCATCGGGCATTCGCCCCGATCAGAGTGAGGGCGAATGCCCGATGGCACCGATGATAACAAGTGTGCCTTACGAAGTTGCCGCTCACGAAGTTGCTGCCGGAGCCTGAGAAACTCCACCGGCGGTCATACGATGGCTTAAGATGCCCTCATGAATGTCCCGATGTTGTTACGATCAGAGCTGAATTTGAACTTTTCCTTTATCGTGTGTCCATCGGGTGTCAATTTCGGGACAGTGTGACAGGGGCTTTAAGGCCTGCACACGCTCAACAATAATAATCACAAGCTACATGCTCACAGTCTTTAGAGAAGACCAGATGCAGTGACCACAACCTGTGTGTTGGTGTGTGTGTGTGTT